TGAGCAATATTGTCTCTTGATTTTTTGCAGTTACTTTTTAATCAAATACATCAGGCATGAGTTGTGTTTATCACTATTTTTAAAACAACCATCAGATTTGAAAAGTCTGCTTATTTCCTGCAGGTTTGGTCTTCTTTTATTTAAAGTTGGTTTAATATTTGCTGCTATTTTGTGTTACTACAGATTTTTAACAGAACTACATTGCTTGACATTTGTTGGTTAAGGAGTGGCTTGGTTTAAGAGCTCATAAGTAAATTTTCATCCATATGATCATAAAATTTCAAGTGCACAGCAGGTTTATGGCCACATATATCCCTCTTAACAGAAAGAGTGAATAATCTGAATGTAAAATACATGTTCATGTAAAGCAACATGTGCAGTTTTATTTGTCTTTTTTTTGAACAGCAGTGTTTCTTGTGGGGGGGGGGGGGTGCCAGCCTCGATTTTGTGAGGCAGGGAGAGATGACTTAAGCCAGAAAAATAATTGAGGGGGGGATACACTTTACATCCTGTGGGTACACATTCTCTAGTATTTAGAAAGTGAACCAATTTTAACAGCAAACACTTTTTTGTGAGATGTAGTAGGTAAAGGGAAGCTAAAGTAATTTTGGGATAGCATCAGCCCCAGCAAGCCCCCACCATTATTGCCACTCCTGTGTGTGCGTGAAGCTCTTCATCAGGCTGTAACAGATGTGGTTGTTACTATTTTGTACTTTAGATCAACCCACAAAGAAGTTGAGTTTATATAATTTATTCAATGTTTCTCACTGATCATCATATTTGGATACAGAAAAAGTTGTATAACCTGATTTAGAACTTACCCCAACTCATTATTCATTATTTTCTTATAGAAACAAGCAAAGGACTTTTTTGTTTCTGAGATGCTTCATTACAATATTGGGGTTAAAAATTAAAGTAATTTTTTTATGTACTGTAACCTTAAAAACAAAAAGATTTTGAGAAACACTAATGTCTCTGTTATTTTTAAGTGTTGGAGAATAGCCCATTTTACTGTTTGGTACTTTAGTCATTTACTGACCTATTTTACCCTTCTTATCCTAGCATACTGGCCTATTTTATATTTCAGTAGTTTACTGGACCATTTTACCTTTTTATATTTTAGTAGTTTGCTGACCTGTTTTGCCATTCCATATTTTAGTACTCTGTTGGTCCATTTTTTAATCTTATATTTTAGTAACTTGAGAATTAGATAATTTTATCACTTCCTTCTTTTCCAAACATTGTTCCAAATTTGAAAATCACATGTACTTTTTCAACTACCTTTTATCCTTCCCATTATATTAAGAATTTAGTCACATCTGTTATGCTTTGGGTCATATTGGCATGACACAGTTTCAGACAAATTGAAAACATTCTTGAATTGCCAAAAAATCTTTAGTTGGCTTTTATGTTTTGTTTTAAATATTAGAAATTAATGTAAACTCTCATTATAATAAACTCAAACATATACTTAACAGTTCTGTCAAACATTGTTAAACCAGAGCTGGTTCAATTAGGCCCAAAACATAACAGGAGGATTAAATGGATTCTCTTGACAAGATTTTGTGATTCAACATCAAAAGACATCAATAAAAGGATATTTTAAATAATCTTCTAGCACATAAGTCTGGCTCTGTTATCCAATACAACTCTTGTTACACAAATAGTTTGTGTTATTGAATACATGGTTGTAAGTAATGCAAAAAAAAAGTAATTCATTTTTGTAATGGAAAATAAAAAACAAGATTTGAATTAACAATTACTAGTGTAAAACAACTTTTATTGCAGATAACTCCCAATGAGCTCAAGTTCATAGTGGACAGTATGAGGTCTAATCCCACGGTGTTCCAAGAGAATGGTATCCGTATTGGTGGAGAAAAATACATTTGTTTGAATGCAGAAAACACCCTGCTTCGGGGCAGAAAGGGAAGCTCAGCACTTTGTGTGGTAGCCACAGAACAATGTAAGTTATTCTTATATAATTTTAGTATTGGGTTTGTTATTTTGAAATATAATATCTAATCAGACCATGTACTGTCTTGCTTGTATAATTGAGCTTTATCTTTAAGGCTATTTTTATTGATTCATGTACTCTTGTAGTCATATTTAACTACAACTACTTTGTAGCAATGCCTCCTAACAGTGTTTTCAATTATGTTATACAGCTTGTGGGTGCACTAGTTAAGGATCAGTCTTCCAAGTATTTAAAATACAGAGCAATAGTAAACAATAAGACACTAAAGTGTACACTAATTATCGTGGGCATTTAATATTTAAGACATATGATAAAACAACTTCAAACTCTGAAAGGAATCCTTTTAGCCTGCTAATTGTTGATTTTCTTTAAAGAACATCTTCAGTACTAATTTTCAACAGACTATTCTTCTCGCACTGAAGATGTGTGAAGTAATATGTAATGAAGTAGCATTGTTAATGCATTCCATGAACTTGTTGATCTTACATTGTAGCAGAAAGAAAAACATGTTAATTAATGATGTTTCTACCATATTAGTTTATCTTAAAAATATTTTAAAAGTTAGTATACTACTTATAGAATGTGTGGCATAAAATAATTTTCAGACCTAAAAATAATGCATAAACCCTGGCATGTATCAGAGGCTTATTGTATACGTAAGCATACATGTTAGCAAGTATAGTGGTCATGCTCTCATTTTCACCAACCTCATCAGCCAAGGGTATTTTTCTACTCAATAAATATCTAAATAATGAGATATGTTGTTGTGGTAAAGTTGCATAGCCCATGAGGTTTTTTGTATACGTGTTTCTTTCCTCATGATATTAAGAAAAACATTATTTGTTAGAAGCTTAAAAGAAACTGTTGTGTTACTTAGGTTGAATAGGAATAGCATGTAATTTTTTTTTTTCAGGTTTAATTGCAGCAGCTACAATTGATGGAGTTCCAGCTGGTAATCTCAACATGGTTGTTGAAAAGTTAGGGGACCACTTGAGAGCATCTGGCTACTGAGTAAGCTCTTGTGATATATTTATGTTAATTTAACCAACTGATGATCACATAAATATCTACCTTATCACTACTTGCTGATGGTGGTGTTTAAAACATCATGTGCATATCTGTAGATTTGTCTTGTATATGACAGCATTAGTGCCCTTGTAAATATTACAATAAACATACTGAGCATGTTTTTTATTCATTCAACCAAAAACAACACACACACACACACACACAGCATTTTTCTTAACATTGCTGTTTGCAGTAAACAAATGAATAAGTGAATTGTACAATGTTGGAGTGAAAAAAATAAGGTTAAAAAGAAAACTCCACTCACCAAGAGTCACCAGCAAGTGATAGTTTTGTATCTCTTATTATTTAATTATGCACATTGAGTATGAGTATCAATTGTCAAGAAAAATTTTTATATGCCAACTATTTTAAAGAAACCCAGCAAGTAACAAGATTTTTATTGTCTTTGAAGTTCAGTTGAGTGAAAATAGATAAACAGAATTATAATTTATACCAACTTATTAAAGTTAACTGATTATTACTTCTTTTGAACTTGCATCATACATTATACCAGATTTTAAATTCAGAGTTGTAGTTAAATAGATAAATATTAATAGTTAAACCTACAAGAGGCCTGAGAATGTGTTCACATTTAATCTTATATAAACTACTTGTCAGCATTTAAAAACAGATGATGTTTTAGTCTCTTTACTGAAGGCCAAACAAAGATCTCTCTGCACAGGAACTAAAACACCATGTATCTGTTAATCTCAGATGCAGTTTGTTGTAGATGCATTGTCAAAACACTTCACTTTGCTCAACTTATTATAATATCAATAATATAATTTTTTTAGTTTTTCTGTCTTCACAGGCAATGTGGTATTATTACCATATTTTTCTTTGTATAAGACGCACTTTTTTTACCCCAAAATTTGATG